AAATGGTGAACTTCCCTGGGAACATTTCAGTGTGGCATGATAGCTAGGACATGGGCACAAATCCCAGCTCTGCCACTGACGAGCTGTGTGACTTCGGTCAAGTTAGTTCACCTTCTGGACCTCAGTTTCCTCATCTGTCAAATAGGGATAATAGTAACACAAAATAGGTTGTCCTGATGACTAAGTGAGTTGGCACATGTGTACAGCTTACAGCGCTCAGCGCACAGTAAGCATTCAATAAATGTTAGCTAACACTGCTTCACCCCAAAGCACCAAGATCCGGGTGAGGCTAGGAGTGGCGGAGGAGCGAGACCCTGTCTCACGGCCTGTGTCAGGCCCAATGTCCCAACCTGTCTTCTGCTTCGCAAATCAAGTCCAAGGATGTAGCTCATAAAGCTTCCACGGGAGACTCAGGGTCATCCTGAGGCCCCCGGGGCCTATGAGGGTCAGGCGGTCTGGGAGTAAACTCCCAGGGCCGCCCACAGGGAGCAGGACACCTACCAGAGTCAGAGATGTCATCCCAGTAGGGCGAATCAAACTCATATTCGGCCTTGAGGATCTGTTCAAAGAGCTTGGAGTCATTTTCGTCATAAAAAGGAGGGTAGCCACAGAGCCTGGAAGACAAGATGGAGTAACGACCTGAAACGCTGCGTCTCATGGTGGTGGCTGGACACCCTGCCTGGAAAGCAGAGCCATTTTCACTGGAGCTGAGAAAACCTGCACTGTGTGTGCTGCAAACACAATCTCAGCCAAGAAATCACACGTTCTGTGGGCACAGGTGGCACCGAAGTAAATTTGTGATTTAATAAATACCAAAAACGGTTAACTCAGGTGATAATCGAAGGTAAAGACACATGTTGAAGTCCACCTTAACTCTTTGCACATGATTTAACAGAGTCCCGTACACCCTCAAAACCTACCAAATAGCCACCTGTGTAGGAACATTATTTATTGATCTTATGGTCTGTAATATTGTCTCTAACAGATGATGGGTTGGTAGAAAAAGAATATATATTTAATATACGTTGTAGGGCCTTCCCAGGTTCATTTTGTTTAACAAATTATCATCAGAAGAAAGGGAAATGTTACAAGCTTGAGTACCAAGTTGTCACAAGTCACCACAGACGGCACATTATCATCCTCCCCTGCCCAGACTGGGTATTGGGAAGCTTACGTCTTGCCCATTAATAAGCAGTAAGTATAAGCAGAAGCGGGCACAAATGCAATATGATCACTGTGTTCCACTGAACCCTTTCAAAGCCAATTTTTAAATGGAGATGTTGGGATGTTAATGCAAGTATCTGGAGATACCAATAGTCATCTGACAAACATAATAGGACTACAAATTTTTATTCAATGCCCCAAATAAAACTAGTTCCCTAAAATCATGGGTTCTCACTCCAGTTCTGCTATCACCACCAATAGGACCTTCACCATTAGTAGGCCACTGATGCAATTTCTGGACCCAAATTTTCTTATCTGAACACAAAGAGGACAGACTAGAAAATTCCCAATATTCTTCCCAATGATGTGGTTCTGTGACTCCCTGTCCCAATTTGTTTGGCTGGTCCNCTTGCAGCCAGGTTGAGCTTTCTGAAGTGCAAATCTGATGACCCCACTTCAAACCTGTCAGGGGCCCCCACTGCCCAAAGGGAAAAGTGTCAATTCCTCAGTGCAATACTAAAATAATAGCAACCCATACAGATTGGAGATTTATTAGGTACTAGGTAGCTCCTTCTTTTTTGTATGTCATTTAATCCCTGAAAAAGCCCTACAAGATATGTACTGCGGCTATTTATGATCTCAGTTCCACAAGGGAGGCCCAAAGGATTAAGGAGCTTGCCCACATAGTCGTAAGTGATGGAGCCAGGACCTCAACTTCAGGGCCTGACCACCAGGACTCAGGCCAGCACCCTGCCAGCTCTGCCTTCCTTCCCAGTCTCATCTCTGGCCTTGCGCCTTTGTCCCTCTTACTCCAGGAATACCAAATGCTGTGGTATTAAGGGTGAATGTGCGGTATACGTCCCCCTGCATGGCCAGATCCCTGGCCTGGCCTGGCATCCGCCTCCCCCATCCTGGATGACCATAGTAAGAGGATCAGCACCTCCCTGAAGTCCTACTTGATTCTGCGGAGCCCACCCTGTCCCCTCTGCCAGGTCCCTCAGTAAGAATGACCTCTCCCTTCTTTGGTTTTTCAAAACTGGCTGGTGAAGGAGAGCCTGGGTTTTAACTAGCCTCCTTCCTTCCTGCTTTCCATGAAGTGAGGCTGGATCAGTGACCAAGTACGAGGGAGCAAACCACTGCCCTTCTTTTGAGGTCATGTTCTCCTGTATAAGATAATCCCCGAAGTCTCACACACGTAAGATAAACAACATAACCACCAAGGTTATGACCACTGTATGGCATATCCTAGAGGTTCTCATCACAAGGAGTAAACAATTTTTTATAACTACACAAGGTGATGGATATTAACTCCGCTTACTGTGGTAATCATTTCGCAATATATACAAATGTCAATCATTCTGCTGCACACCTTAAACTTACACAGTGTCATGTGTCAATTATATCTCAATGAAACTGGAAGAAAAAAAAGTCTATACAGCTATAAAGTCCTGTTGCTTATAAAGAAAACTGTACTATCTGTATGGTCACATATTTTGACCTATTGTCCAAAGTGACTTACTAAAAACAATCGAGATGATATATAACCCAAACTGCCTCCTTATTAAGAAAATTCTTCACCTCCCCCCATGCCCGAGCCAATTCCTTCCTTCCCCTTTATGTCTCTCATCTGCAAGGTGGTGAAGAGCATGCATTTTCCAATCCACAGTGTTGGCTGCAAACAGTTCTTGCTTTGCCATTAGCTAGTTGTGTTGTTTTGGCTACGTTACTTTATCTTTTTAAATTCATTTCCTTCTCTCTGACATGGCAATAAAGCCTACCTGACAGGGTTATTATAAAGAAAAAAATGAGATGATATTTTAATGCAACTAGAGCAGAGCGCATAGAACATAATAGGCGCTCAATAAATGACAGCTGTTGTTACAAATTAAAATACTGTGAAACTGGGTCTTGACACTAATGTAAGCAGATCCCCTTCAGGAGGTTAACCAGTATGTGAGATTCTGGAGAAAATGCTAGAAGAGATGGAGGAATAAACAAGGGGACAGTTTTCTAGAGTGCTTCCTAGAGGGAATTTCTCCTGATCTCAAGGTTCTGTCCATTTATTTTCATTGTATTGCCTATTTTACTTCCCCTGACCTTTGTTTCAAAATGGATGCTCGTGGCACGTTATTAATAATAGCTTAACAAAGCATTTGCCACGTGCCAGACATCGTGCTAAACCCTTTACATTATTCTCTCAATGATTTCTTATGTCAACCCTTTAAACTAGGTATCATCATTCTCATTTTAAAGACAAGAAAACTGGGGTGCAGAAAAGTTAATGTATAAACCCAAAGTCACAACTAGTTTGATCGTGAAGCTCGGCTCAAACCTGTGAAGTGGCACAAAAATAAGGAAGGTGTCCTCAAGGGCACTGCTGAAAACGTCGTATACAAAATGCCACCAACTAGCAATTAGTCCCTCTGGAGTTGAAGAAACACTAACTTGAAAAGCATCTTAAAAGGAAAAACTATATACGTAACTTCAACTCATTTAACTACTGAGTGATAAACTCAAGGAATAAAA